CAGGGCAGCCAGCCCCGCCTCCACAGTCTGCAGCCTCACGGAGGTTTGTCTCCATCTGCTGCCTCGCTAGTCTGGTTGTTCTCTTTGACTGTTTCTTTCATTCCAGGGTTGTTGGAGTTTCACGCACTTTGATTTTCTGGCACTTCGTGTTGTTTATTGATATTAGATTGGTTGTTACCCTCCTTTTGGTTGTGTGAGGAAGCAAGGGGTTTCTACTTATGCCTTCATTTTGGCTGCAACTCTCAGAAAGACCATTTTCAAAGTACTGATTCTACTAAAGGCATATTGTTTCCCAGTACTGCCAAGTTGAAAAATGTTAAGTTGAATAATTGTAAGTCAGGGCCTGTCTGTATAACCGTTCTCCCTTCAAGTTATAACTGGTCTAGTTTAGTAGCTGGAATGGTGTAATAACTATGGAAGAACCCAAGAACCCAAGAACCCAATGGGCAGACTCGAGCCTTATTCAACAGCTTTTGCATGATAGATTTTACCAAGTTAGCTGTAATGATACAATGGCACATTTGCCTCTGAAATTTCTAAAACATGGTTAATGCTTTCAAGTTTCCAGATTAAAGAAATTTTCTTTTCCATTAGCTAAATATTTATTCATCATTTCTCCAAAGGAGATGTTTTTCTGCCCCTTTCTCAAAGGTAATTGAGATTGAAGCTTATTGATAACATCAACATTTAGTGTATTAGTTCTTAGACTATACCTAGACCTGATGACAGATTCCAGAAAAAACAAAAAAATAAATCTATAATAATAAACATTTGATTTATAATTTTCTACCTAAGGGAAAACTAATGGCTCCTTTAAAAAAAACAAAATACTGAGTATTATAATATAGTTATTGTCAAACTTACTAAGTAACGATTGAACATATTTAGTGTGCCAAGATTCTATTTTACATACATTATTTTATTTAATATAATCATTTCCCTCAATTTTTAGTGAAAAAAACTGAGACACAGAAATATGCAGTAGTTTTTCTAAATTCACAAAGCAGATAAAGTAAATGTGTCAGGATTTGAAACCGGATAGGCTGATTCCAGAGCCCTAGCTTAAGCTATACCACCTCCCCATTTATGATTCCTCAGAGTATATTCATTTCATGATTTTTCTCCTTTTTCTAATTTGAACACCTATCAGAAAAGTTTAATCATATTAGGGTGAGTTTGGTCATGCCTTTTCTTAGTTCTTTCAGGCACTTTTAACCTTTTGTTGTTGTTTAGCTGATACTGTCAACCTTTGATAGTTCAGAATGTTGTTTTGTGTTTAAGTATTCATTGCTTGAACATGTCAAACAACTTTGTTGACTAACTTAAGAAATATTCTTAGCACCAGGGAAGGAAGGGGCACATGATCAACTTTGAGAATCTGATGAAAGCTAATCATCTCTTCCTAGGAAGTTTCATTCATGCAAAATTTTGTATGCAATATCAGAGCCTTCATGAGTTTATCAGGTTCCTGTTACTGTTTCCTCATAGACTAATACAATGACAAACAATCCCAGCTTTTCCAAATGAGTCAACCAGCCCTTCCCTGTTTACTTCTCTGAGAAGAAAAGCACACCTTGTCCTCTTCTAAAACTGAAACTCTTCTCTTGGCTGCTTTGTAGTTTTTACTATGACAGCCTTATAAGTACATACAACTTACCCACCCTATTGGACAGTCAGGATTCCCAATGCCAAGGAAGCATCCACTTAGAGTATTTCCAACTGGACAAACAGGCTCCTTCATGTCTCACTGGAAGGCTTGGTTTCTGTGTTGCCTACCAACAAACCTGTATTTATAACATTAAAGGGTAAAGAGTCTGTTTTCTCTTGTTATTGCATAGCTTTCTGGGGACCAAGGAAGGTTCTGTGAGTATTTTACACCTGGTTTGAACCACCCTTGGGAATTAAAATCCCTGAATCATCCTGGTAATTAATGATGCCTCAGGTTATGATGCTTTGGGGCATGTTCTTTGGATGACTATTGAGTCTTTGATGCTTGGAGACAGACTTCCTGCCCTTGGCAGGGCATCTGCAGTGGGTGGCCTTCAAGTTGTGGCTGGGGTGGGGGCCCAGGTAATATTTTATAGGGAATTATGCACGGTCATGCAAAGATTGTATAACTAAGATACATCTATGGGATATTTTTTGCTTGCAAAGAAAACAAGGCCTTGCCTAGCATATTTATCACAAAATATAGCATAAAAGTAGTCTTTGTTTCTCCTATTTTCATTTTCCCTATTGTTTCCTGGTGAATCAAATTAAGTAATAAAATCATATTCAAAAGCAGGTCAGTTGCTAAATGTTCTATTGGTCCCAGAGTTCTCCTTACTTTTGTTCTCCCCCATTCACTCTGGATTGAAATTGGGGCAATCTGTACTTCCTGATGTGGCTAGGTCAAATTTTCAATGCACTGGGTCTTTCATCATGGCCACTAGGGAAGAGATGAGAACCTGGTTCTCTAGGCCATTAATGACAGCGATTAAGCACTGCCCACAACCCCAGTATTCACAGCAAGGCTGAGCTAAGGTGATGGCATTCTCCAATTAGAAAGTGCATTTTCTATCTCTCAACATTTCCCAAGTTCAGTAATTCATACCAAAGAGGAGGACACTGGAACAGAAGTGTGTTTGTGTCAGGTCTGTAGACATCATTCTAATGGCCTTTTCCAGTCAATTGTAGCCTTTTAAGTAACTTGTGACATGTAAATCTATGACTTTTCATTCTGGTTGGGGGGAAATTTCTAGGCTATATTTGGTGTAGAGTGAAATGTAAGTTTGATCTTAAAATATGGGGCATTACTGATTTCTTCATACTAAATTTAAAGCATAATATGATAAAGACATATTAGTGTCTTTATAGTGTCATAATAAGGTGTTGGTATGTGACCTGCACTGCAGGTGTGTCCTCCTTCCACATGGGTGGCCATTCAAAGAGCTTGCAGAACTGTCATGGCTCTCTCTTTCCTGCTCTTTTAATTATGACTTTATGTGAAAATTGTACTTTATTGACCAATTGCATATCCAGAACTATAGCCATTAATTAACTAATTCATACTTCAAAACTATTGTTACATGCTACATTTTATAATTGTCCCCAGACATTTAAACTTATTTACAAGCAAATGTACTCGACTCTGAGGATTTTTTTGGTCCATATTTACTCAAGTCCAATTTGAAATTTTAAATTCTTTATTTGCCCATATTCCATAGTACCTTTGCATTTGTCATTGTACTATTATTATTTATTTGCATATTCCTCACCCAAGTACTTAACTTGTAAATGTACAAGCTTAAAACACACTTTGTAAGTAACTTGAAAAGAAAAACAAAAGTTGAAATACTCATCTTCTTACTTATCACAGAACTTTATGTAAATAAACTGGTTGAAAGATGAAATAAGATATAGAAATGTAAGCATTAACTGAAAGAAAGCAAGATTGGCTGTATCAAAGTATAGTATTCAGTGCAAGGAAAATTGCTAGAGACATAGAGGGATATAACATAATAAAACAATCCTTGAAATACTGTTGTACAATACTATAGTTTTGCAAGATGTTACCATTTGGAGAAAATCAGTAAGGGTATATGGGATTTTTGTATTATTTCTTACAACTGTACATGAATCTAAAATTATTTCAAAAGAAAACAGTTAGTTTAAATGTAAAGGTGGCATCATCTAAAAACATGTAAAAAATAAGCATTTATTTTGTCCCTGAAAGATTTCTATTTCAAAATGAAATTATATCTGGTACACTGTGTTTATTCTTGTGAGTCCTAAAATAGTTAGAATGATTTAACAATCCATCAAAAGTTTTCTCACACAGTCATAAGAATGTTTAGATGTTCTTAGACAAGTTGTGTATAAATGTAATTTTCTCCGTCTTGCATTTTCAGTGGAATGTTCAAAAACAAGTAATGTACTCAAGAGGCTATATCCCAAAAGAGCCCAAATCTCATATATATGTAGCCTTGTTCTACAGTGACAATTGTTTGGCAATTGTCCTTATTGTTGAGGTACCAGCATCTGCAGGTAACAATTTTCTTTGTATATTGATATATAAACACTTTTTCTAATTTTTATATTAGAATTTAAGGTTTGGTTATTCTAAGGAAATAATCATTTGTTGAGCATCCACTTACCTCTGTGAGCTGGGTTTGCTGTTATCATGTACATCATCTTATTTCACACAAGAAGCCTACCAGCTATACATATATTTAATCAATAAAATGATGAAGATGGAAGAGTTTATGTAACTTGTCTGATTCCACAGATAATGGCAAAGCTGCAATTTGAACTCAAGCCAGTTCAGCCCCAAAGCTCATGGCATTTTGCACAATATTTTGCTTCTAGCCCATAATGGTACTGGTGACTAACTCTGCATTTGTGTCATACACATCTATTTTCTTTAAAATTTTAAGCTTCCATTCACTCTTGGGTCCATACTTAGTTACTAAAGTTCCATGTCTGTCCTGAACAAAGATAAGGAAACTAGGACTTTGAAGTTCAGACTCACAATTACAACGTGTTCATAACATGGTATACTATTGCTCAGTTATTCACAGGTAACACAATTCAAGCATTTCTGTTAAGGATAAAACTGTGACGTGTAGCTCGTTGAACACATGACTGTGATGGTGTGCATGTATGTTGTGAATTCAATCTTCCTGACACTTAACACATGAAGAAAAAATATTCTGAAGTTTTAGTTGGTCTCTGTAGCTCAGGAAACACCTAACACCTAACAATGTGATGCAAGAATGAGTTAGGTTCATTAAGTTAAAAATTTTGTTGAAATTCCTGGCCTATATCAATAAACATATATACTATCAAGTTTTACATGAGGCATTGTGTGGGAAAGCACTTTGTATCAAACTTACACTAGTGTGTCTATGTTTTTATAGTTTTTATTATGTAGCCATTGTAAAATAAGTATGTAAATTATACTATTCTTCTGTCCTAATATCCACTTGTTTTGCTTTCAGTGGGCACCATTTGCAGTATAGATGGGGACTGGAAACTATACAGCTGTGAAAGAATTCATTATTTTGGGGTTAACAGAGAATGCTACAACTTGTGTCATTTTATTTATTGTGTTTCTAGGAATCTATGTTGTCACCTTAATGGGCAACATCAGCATAATCATGTTAATCAGAAGCAGCCCTCAGCTTCACACACCAATGTACCTTTTCCTCTGCCATTTGGCCTTTGTAGACATTGGTTATTCCTCATCAGTCACACCCGTTATGCTCACAGGCTTCCTCAAGAAAGGAACCTCTATCAGTGTTGCTGGTTGTACAGCCCAGCTCTGTATTGCAGTTGCATTTGGGACAGCTGAGTGCTTCCTGTTGGCTGCCATGGCCTATGATCGCTATGTGGCCATCTGTTCCCCACTGCGCTACTCCACACACATGTCCCCCAGAATCTGCATTCTCTTAGTGGGAATGTCCTACTTGGGTGGGTGTGTAAATGCTTGGACATTCACAGGCTGTTTATTAAGTCTATCCTTTTGTGGACCTAATAAAATCAATCACTTTTTCTGTGACTATTCACCACTTTTGAAGCTTTCCTGTTTTCATGATTTTACTTCTGAAATAATTCCAGCCATCTCTTCTGGTTCCATCATTGTGGTCACTGTGGTTATCATTGTTCTGTCTTATGTCTACATCCTTTTCTCAATTCTGAAGATGTGTTCCACTGAGGGACGCCAAAAAGCCTTCTCCACCTGCTCATCTCACCTCACAGCAGTCATCCTGTTCTATGGGACCATCACATTCATTTATGTCATGCCCAAGTCCAGCTACTCAACAGAACAAAACAAAGTGGTGTCTGTGTTCTACACGGTGGTGATCCCCATGCTCAACCCTCTCATCTACAGTCTGAGGAACAAGGAGGTGAAAGAGGCCATGCGAAAACTGATGGCTAGAACATATTGGTGGTCCTAAAGTAATCTGATTTTATTAATAAACACTATATAATGAGGACTTCTTCTGCAGATGAATGGATAATATACCAAGTAAATTTCATTGTATATTCATAGTATTCTAGACTCATAGATTTCATTGTTAGTCTCAAGAAAGTTTTCAGTGTAAAGAATAAATGTGCATGCACTAAGACAGTAATATCTAGTGAAAAATAATTGCTTTATGCTTACTTCACCTACCATTTGTTGCATCTACAAGTATTGTACAAATATTTTCAAGTAAGTTCTGTGCTCTTTGAATACAGTCTTTGGAATTAACAGCTGGAAGCATCTGAAATTCCTTGACTGGGAAATAGAGAAGAGTGTGGCCATCCAAGATCTCATCATCTAAAGAGGTGGTGCTTGTGCTGTACAGATAATGTAAGGGTTGGAATCAATGATTCTGGTAGTTGTAAATCTTCTGGTGCTTTGTGATCTGAGTGTGACCAACAGGATTCCTCCCACAGTCCCACTGCAGGTGAGTGTCTTCAAGCCAAATCAGAAGGTACCTGAAAACTCTATTCAGCTAGTAGTTTTTTCCCTTCAGGAATTTATTTGACAAAATACATGAAGGAGTCCCAAGAAGAAACCCTACTGGGGGTTAATTCACATGATCTGGATCTTTTTTAGATGAAGAAGAAAAGTTACTTTTTTTTAAAGGTTGTTTCAATCTTTTCAAATGTATGCTGCATACTTTTAAATAATTTTATTAAATTTCTTGGCCAACATTGGTGAATAAGATTATATAAGCTTTAAGTGTACAATTCCATAATACATTATCTGCATATTGTATTGTATGTTCACCACCCAAAGTCAAGTCTCTCTCTGTCACCATATATTTTGACCCTCCTTACCCTCTTCTCCCTCCCCCCATCCTCCTTCCCCTTTGGGAACTACCATACTGTTGTCTCTGTTGAAGAGTTTTTTAGTTTCTTATAGGAAACGAATCAGCATGCCAGCGGCAAATGTAGTACAGCATTGATCTGGAAAACTGATTGAATGCGAAGTGGCACACAGGAGACAGGTGTGCAGAGTGGCTTTCCTGTGGGGAATCAGGACTGCATTGTACCTAGGCTTCTTTAAGACTTGCTCTTGCTAAAACTCCCTCACCCTGAGTTTAGACTGTAGATGTTTAATGTATATCTCTGAAGCAACTCCCTAAAGTCTGTACTAAGTCATCCCAAGGATGAAATGTAACCAAATCAATCCTTTTTATCATTCCCTGGCATTTGCAACATTTTTTTCTTTTTCTTTTGTTATCTGTAAAATATAGTTACTTAATGTAAATCTAAGGATAATGAATGAGAACCTTCTTTGATGTAATGCAACTGGAAAGCAATAAAAGCCTGTCCAGGCAAAGGTTGAGGCGCTCTCTCCTTGAGAGAGTGGCCAAGGCTCTCTCTCTCTCTGAGAGAGCGGCCATGCTGCCCTTTTTCTCCACAGGACTTCTGTAGTCCGTGTGAATTCGTTCATTGCATCCACAACACACAGACTCGGCTGGCCAGAGTCTGCATGAGTTCTGTTTTATATTCAATGTATGAGTGAAATGATATGGTTCTTGTGCTTTTCTATCTGATTTATTTTGCTTAGCATGCTATTTTCAAGATCCATGTTGTTGCAAATGGCAGTAACCATCTTTCCTTATGGCTGTGTAGTATTCCATTATATATATATATGTGTGTGTGTGTGTGTGTGTGTGTGTGTGTGTGTGTGTGTATGTGTATGTGTATATGTGTGGTGTATATATATATATATATATACACCACATCTTCATCCAATCATCCATTGAAGAACACTTAGGCAGTTTCCATATCTTGGTCACCATGGATAATTTTGCAAATGAGCCTAGGGGTACATATATCTTTACAAATACATGTTTTCAAAATTTTGGGGTAAATACCCAGAAGAGGGATTGCTGGGGCTATTCTTAACATTTAGAGGAATCTCCATACTGTTTCCCATAGTGGCTGTACCAGTTTACATTCCCACCAGCAGAGAATGAAGGTTCTTTTTTCTCTACAACCTCTCAAAAACTTATTTGTTGTCTTGTTGCTAATAGCCATTCTAACAGGTGTAAGGTGGTATCTCATTGTGGTTTTTAAAAAATTATATTTTATTGTTTATGTAATTACAGTTGTCCCAGTTTTCGTCCTTTGCCCTCCTCCACCCAGCTCCTCCCCTACTTCATGCAATTCCCACACCACTGTCCATATCCATGTGTCATGCATATGTATTTTTTGGCTAGTCTATTCCCTATGCTGTACTTTACATGTTCATGATTATTCTGTAACTATCAATCTGTATTTCAAAATCCCTTCACCTTTTTCACCCATCCCCTGAACCCCTCTCCCATCTGGCAACCATCAAAATGTTCTCTGTAACTATGTTTCCTTTCTACTTATATGTCTATTTAGGTTTTATATTCCATTGGTGATAGATATGTATTTATTGCCATTTTGTTGTTCATGTTTTTCCTCTTCTTCTCCCTCCTCTTCTCCTTCTCCTCCTCCTCCTCCTTCTTCTCCCTCTTCTTCTAGAAGAAGCTTTAACATTTCATATAATACTGGTTTGGTGGTGATGAACTTCCTGTAGCTTATTCTTGTCTGGGAAGCTCTTTATCTGTACTTTGATTCTTAGTGACAGCTTTGCTGGGTAGAATAATCTTGGTTGTAGGTCTTTGCCTTTCATTGCTTTGAATATTTCTTCCCAGTCCCTTCTAGACTATGAGGAATCTTTTGAGATCAGTTGACAGTCTTATGGGAGTTCCCTTGTAGGTAACTAACTTAGATTCTCTTGCTGCTTTTAAGATTTTCTCTTTGTCTTTAACCTTTAGCATTTTAATTATGATATGCCTTGCTGTGGGCCTCTGTACATTCATGTTGTCTAGGACTCTCTGTACTTCCTGGACTAGTATGTCTATTTCCCTCTTCAAGTCAGGGCAGGAGCTAGGTGCAGCTTTCTTTCAGGCAGAAATGTGGGCAGAGGCCATTGTTCCCTTTCTGGGTCCTCCCTTTACAGAGCTACAGAGAGACAGAGCTGGTAGGTGAGCCCCATATCTGTGACTCCATCAACATGGCTCACACTGTTTCCCCACCCTAGTCATTCTGTGAGACCTGTGCCACCCATCTTTCAGGCCCATCCAAGCTGTTTCCAGTAACTTTTCCATACAAATAGTTTGTCTTGGCCCATGTTTCAGATTTTTCTAAGTTCTTTCAAACAAGTAGCACCTGGCTTCAGTAGCCCCATAACTCTTGATAAGTTGCTCCAGGCCCAGCACTATCAGCTACCAGTCTTAGTTAACAGCTTGGCTATCTCCTGGGACCTCTAAGCCCAGCATGAGTAGTAGTCATCTGCAGATTTCTTTGTAGCTTATGTTGTGTGATTCTGGACAGAACACAGGCAGTGGCTGACCTTGGATGCATCAAGAGCAACCAACACTCAACTACAACAGAAGGGTGTACATAGCCCACATGGTGAGTACACCCTGAGTACCCAGCTTGGGTAACAGATGAGGCTGTGCCACCAACCCTACAGAACACCTCCAAAACTAGGCCATACTACCAAGCCTGGGAGACATAGCAGCAAACACAGGGAGGCTGCCAGAAGGAGGAGAAAAAGAAACATAGCCCAAATGAAAGAACAGAAAAAATCTCTGGGAAAAGAACTAAAGAAAATGGAAATGAGCACCTACTAGATGCAAAGTTTAAAATACTGGTTACAAGGATGCTCAATAAACATAGTGAGAATGTCAACAGCATAAAAATATCAATTAGAAAGAAAGGATACATTAATTGAAATAAAAGAAAAATTTACAGGGAATCAACATAGAATGGATAAAGCTGAGAATCAAATCAGCAATCAGCAATTTGGATAAGGAAGCATTAACAACCAATCAGAACAGCAAAAAGAAGAAAAGAGACCAAAAGAATGAGGATAGTGTAAAGAGTTTCAGTGACAACTTAAAGTGTACCAAGATTTGCATAAAGGGGTTTCCAGAAGGAAAAGAGAGTAAGAAATTGATAACCTATTTGAAAAACAAGCATTGTGGCTTTGATTTGAATTTACCTTATAGCTTGTGTAGTTAGGCACCTTTTCCTGTATCTGTTGGCCATTTGTATGGGAGAAGTGTTTGTTTGGGTCCTCTGCCTATTTTTAAATTCAGTTGTTTGTGTGTGTGCATGTGTGTGTGTGTGTTGAATGAGTTCTTTATATACTTTGGATATTAGCTCCTTATATGAGGTATTGTTTGCAAATATCTTTCCCATTCAGTTGGTTGCCTTTATATTTGTTGATGGTTTCTTTTACTATACAGAAGCTTTTTAGTTTGATATAGTCCCATTCATTTATTTTTACTTTTGCTTTCTTTGCATTTGAGGGAAAATGCATAAAATCTTGTCCAAGACCAAAGACCTATGTTTTCTTCTATGTAATTTATGTTTCAGGTCTTATATTTAGGTCCTTGATTCATTTTCAATTAATTTCTTATGTACATTGATGAATAGCAGTTTAATTTTATTCTTTTGCATGTGGCTTTCTAATTTTCCCAGCACCATTTTTTAAAGAGGCTTTCTTTTCACTCTGAGCAATGATGCTTAGTTGGTTGGGGGTTGTCACACAAAGTGAAAGGTCACCAGTTTGAGTCCCAGCCAGGCACATGTCTGGGTTGTGGGTTGTATCAGCGCACATTCAAGAGGCAACCAATTGATGTTTCTCTGTTACATTTATGTTTCTCTCCCTTTTTCCCCCTCCCTTCCCCTCTCTCTAAACATTTTGGAAACGATACATAAATTTTAAGAAAATTAAAGTTATGCCAGGGCACAATATTAACAGCTGGAAACTTGAAGGATAAAGAAACTGATCTTTGGAATTGTTGTTTCAGGATTTTTAGGGTATAATCCCAGGAGGGGGATCACTGGTTCAAAAGACAGTTCCATCTTTAGTGTTTTGAGGAAATTCCATACTGTTTTCCACAGTGGCTGCATC